AACTTGAAGATACTCAACAATATGACCTTCATTATCTGAATACATAATAGGTCTACGAAAATTTGATTGAAAATCATCTTGCCACCAATTGTTGAAACTTTGTTTCTTATAATCTTGATCTTCTTGTTCAAAACAAATTTTAGACATTTTAATATTACTATATTGAAAATTTAATCGGTTATAAAACTGATTAAATTTATTCTTTGTTTTTTGTCTGTTATTATTTTTATACGAGGTTCCCATATCGTTGATATGGCTACGACCCAGTCTCACCTCGAATCGTCATAGCAAACGTACAAAAAACTTACTTTGCCACTCTGATAATTTATTATCCTTGTTGTAATTTACTCTATATAAAACGCACAAGTATCACATAGCGAATGTTTTTTTTTTTTCTTTTTTGGTGGAAACGTAGATGATTATTGACAAACGCCATCGTCACAAGCTTGATGTTTTTGACAATAATCACAACGTTTGCTAATAAATTCTAAAATATTATTATTTTAAGATATAAAATATTATTTTAAAATACTAATAAAAAAATAATTTATATTTATTTCGTATTATATTTTCTCTTTTTTACATATACAAATTCTACTTCATTTAATCTACTATCTATCAAATTTTTAATTCTAATACATATTTCTTTTGGTGCTTTAAGTTTTATAGTTGTTCCATGACGATACCAATTATTCTTTAACCACTTATCAATTCTATTTTCACTAAGCATTAGGTAAATATTCTTGTTTCTCATTTCAATTAACAATTTTTTTTTATCATTATTTTCTTCTAATAATTGAAGTACTCGTGTAAATTCTAACAGATATGAATCTGTAGCATTTACTGAATCATCTATTTTACTATGTTTCTCAAAATAAAAATCAATCTTTCCTTTGTTAATTGATAAAAAATTAAAATCCTTAATAAAAGGTTTTCGTAAACTTTGTTTTGCTAACTTATCAGCTTGATCATTTTCATATATCCCAGAATGTGATGTTACATGTTTGAAATATGTTTTTCCTTTCCTCTCTCTAATTAAATCATTCATTCTATCTACAAGATCTGAATTAACTTTACCTTTAACATTAAAGTTATTAATAACATATGTGCTATCTGTGTTGATAACTACATCTTGATCTTTATCACATATTTCTAATGCACGAATTACAGCATAAACTTCTGCACGATTAGAAGATTGTAGTAAACCTGGTAAACGTTCTGATATATTACGAGGATCTTTATTTTTAAAAAAAACTCCAATTCCAGCGATAGAACTTAATTTATTATTGAATTTCTTTTTTTTGTTTTCAATTCTAAAATTATTATCACATGATCCATCCGTCCATACATTTAATATATTTTTATCAAAATTTTCTTGTTTGATAAAATCTTCTGCTTGTTGCTTAGTATCGAATTTTCGATACATAGCGCCAGAATATCCAAGAACTTGTTCTTCACATTCTTTATAAGACATATATATTCCTGGATTGCGTCCAACACGAACTGCATAGTAACCTAATGTTGTGTAATAATTAACAAGTGACATACTTGTGCGTTTTACAGAGTAAATTACAACAAGGATAATAAATTATCAGAGTGGCAAAGTAAGAGTTAGCATAAAGTAAGAAAAGCGAATGATCAAACAATATACAGTTGGAGCTCTCTTACCTTAATAATTTTAGATTTTGTTAAATTTAATTTCTGTCTGGTTTTCTTTTGAAACTAGATAGAAATGAAGGTGAAAACTAGGTCTTTATATAATCGTTTAAAGCTAAGCCACAATTTCGAAAGCTATAAAAGATTAATAAAAATATCTGATACGTAAAGAAAAAAATGCCAAATATAAAATTCACACAGTATCAAAAATTCGATGATAATAAAGATATCAAGATACTAGATTATGCTGAAATCATAAAATTCTATAACAAATTTGAGAAATCTACTATATTTAAGGAACGTATTATGGATCATGAATTTGATCTTGAAAAATTGATAAAATATATAAATTCTAAATTTAAAAATCATGTTCTTGATAATAAAATATTGATTTACAGTTTAAATATTGAAATTGTATATATAGTTAATATGTTGGTATTGACTGAAACTATTAAATTTAAATCAAATATTTATACTATAGAACATATATTTTATTAAAAAAATAAAATTTATTCATTTAATAATAGTTATACAAGATCTAC